ATGAATTGATTGAGGTGTCACTTCTACGGGGCTGTTGGCTGTTGGCTAGGTGCTGGGACTGGGAGGGGAGCGAGAGGTGATTGGGCTTCAGGTGGCGCCGGCGGGAACCGACCCTGAAGAGAAGCCGGAAGTTTGCCATCTTACTGGTGGGGGTCCTTCACTTTGGAGGGGCATCCATAGTCTTTACTTTTCAATAATCCCATTTCTTTCCTTTTGGAATAATGTTTGAGAGAAAGAGTTGAATATGAGTTTACCAGGTGGACAAGGGGAGATAGTGATTCCAAGATGGGGGCAGCCCGTTCAAAGGCTCAGAGACTTAACATCATGAAAATGATAGAGATAGTTTTATTCTTCATACGCTGCACAGAGACAGTTGGTGGGATGGTGTACATAAATAGCAGAGGTGTGTATAAGAATTTGGGAAAGTTTGGAAATGACAGGGGAACGAGACAGAAAGACTGAACCCGACGGCGACATTTTGTGGTATGTGATGTGATCTTTCCTCTGTGCTACACCTAAACTTTAATAATATTACTAGGCTTATGAAATGCTGATGTTTGGGAATTATTTGTGAATACCAGTCTTGGGCAAGAGCTGAGACCATGGGACCAGAGAAAGAGGACAGACATAAAGAGCTACGAAGGCCACTGCTGATGTTAATCTTTTTGCACACATTTTAAAAAGATACTTTCTGAGCCTGGGTGGTTGCTTTGTGCAAACAAAGAGCATTGTGTCCCCAAGGCAGCCGGGGGCTCTTCTCTAGATCACCCTGCAGCAACACGCAGCTTCAAGGACAGGGCCCTCTCGCCACCCCCACCCCCCACCCCGGCTAGATGGCCTTCTGCAGTGCAGGGCCTGCAAACTCCACGTGGAGGCCCCCGCCCAGGAGGAGCTATGCATGGGGGCTCACAGGGTGCGTGGGCTTTGGCTATCACAGCTCATGGACATGGGGTTTACGCCAGATTCATCTAATCCCTAAAGATGCATGTGTGCATAGTGTTCAGGGAACTCTGAGCAGATAAGCATTTTTGGAAAGTGTATTTCCAAAGAAGACTTTTTGTTTTTTAGGGCTGCCACAACACATTTTCACACACTGGATTGTTTAAACAGGCAACATTTATGCTCTCACAGTTCTTGAGGCCAGAAATCTAGATGTCCGAAATCAGTGTGTCAGCTGGGGTGGTCTCCCAGGTGGCTCCGAGGAGCATCCAGTCCACGGGCCTCCATTCCCTTTGGTGGCTGCTGGCACTCCTTGGCTTATAGACGCCACTCAGTGTGCCTCTGTGTTCACATCGCCTTCTCCTCTATTACAAGCACACCTGTCATCAGACTGAGGACTGTGCCGATTATACTTCCAAAGACCCTTTTTTGCAAGTAAGGTCACATTCACAGGTTTTGGGTGGTCATACCTTTTGGGGGCCACCATTGAACCCACTGCAAGGGGAATCATGGTAAGACAGGAGGCCGGTGAGCAGGCAGGAACCTCCCACCTGGTTTTTGTGTGGTCACTGCACTGTTTGTTTATATGAATTTATGGTTTGCTGATACTCAAATATATGTCACTTGGTACTTATTTCAGCGTACGCATTCTTTCCTCATTTTATAATTGTATGGTTTGGTTTTATCCTTATAAGGCAACTGTTTTAATTAGACAAGCACAATTTCCATGTACACATTTCTAATTTCCAAAAGATGAAAAGTCCCTGACTTGCTGTTGGTTAGGCTTTGAGTTTGAGCCTGAATTTTTCTATTTGCCTAGAGCTTGTTTTAAATTGTTGATATCCTAAAGATATCATTTCCCTACTTATTAGTCTTTGTGGATTAATTTCCACTAAAAGGCTAAAACCTTCCTATCACTGATGACCTTCCATATTTCAGAAAAACATGGTATCTGACTGAGCTTGGGTGAGAAAGGTCGTAGGGGGAGGTATATTTGCAGGCTGAATGCTCATTGTCAGGATGCAGATGTGCCAGTGGGCTTTTACACTAGAATAAAGAAAAGGCTCTTTTTTCTGAAATGGGGTTAATTACAACAAGAAATAAATTGCTCTCTCATGGAATTAAACAATGTTAGAAGTGAATGTTTCTATAGATTAACTCTAGCTCAAACATTTTATAGACAAATCTGTTGCAAGAGAGTTGACTTGTCAAAGATAACACAGAGTGAATGAGAAAGAACTAGAATCTATGGCTTGTCCCACTCACCTTTAGTGCTTAAAAGTAAGTTTGCAACAGTTGTGAAATTAAATATATAGATGGAAGTCCTGATGAAATGAAAATGTATTTAAAATAGGAATTCCTATTTCATAATGATGCATCTAGAATGGCAAACCTGGTCTCATCTTTTTTCAGTCACTAATTCCCAACCCTAAGAGTGATCTCTCCCAGCCCACCATCACCATTCTGCATCTTTATAATTAAATATATTGGTTGAACACATGAGTTGTTTGTTTTCTTGACAACACTGTCTTTCCTTCTGCCAATATCTCCCAGTTGAACTCCTTTCTTGCCATAGTTTTCTTCAGCCTTTTATTTTCTACAAAAAAATCTACCTAATCTTTTGCTATTTTTCCTTCCATTCAATAAGTGGAAAGGTCAGAGGCTGGGGGGAAATGAGGAAAGGGAAAGAGAGAAAAATAAGATTCTTTCTTCCCAACTTTCTTTCTATTTCTTCTGTTTCCAGGTATCAATATTATTCCAGTGTTGTGTACAGAAAAGTTAAAAGAAATGAAATCTCCATCAACAAGAAAGTTATTAATTGGTTCTCAAAATTTGGTCTGTATCAAAATCTCCTCTAAACACTTTTAAAAATCTGAATGTTTGAGCCCCACACTAGACCTTCTGAATCTAAATATATATAAGCTAAACATTGGCAGCAGGATAATTACTAAATTTCACAGTTGATATTAATGTAAGCTGAAATTTGCTAATTATACATTAAATTATTTCATGCAAAGGAATACTATGCAGCCATAAAAAAGAATAATGACTGTGATAAAAGTCTACAATACATTGAGTGAAAAGGTCAAGTTAAAGAATGATCAGGTTTAAGATGGTCTCATTTATTTTCTAATATATATAAGGTATGCAATATATAGCATACCTATTATATAGCATATTATGCAACATATATGTATATAATATCTGGAAGAATAAAGAGCTAATGTTCTACAGTGATATTAGAGACTTCTACTTTCTGATCAATGTATTTGCTTTCAAATTTTATAATGAGTCTATTATGAACTATGCATAATTGGAGGAAAATACTAAAAATAAGAAATTGCCTAGAGGCTCCTGTTCTTAAATGACAAGTCCAGGGAAGCATCTGAAAGTGATTAAATTAGTTAATACTATTTAAATAATTAATCACTGTGAAAAATGTTTTACTCATCTCTTTCCTGAGCTTGCTCTTTTCAAACATTCTAAATTACAGGCAGCATACGTTTATAACTTATCCAGTAAATTAACCTCTTCACATAGGACAGAAAAGAATACAGAATTCTTTGCTCACCTTTTTCAGTGTGGTAAAAGCAGTATCTCTTAATGAAAATCTCCAGCTCCACTTGACCAACATCTATGAGTGAGAAAGAAATAAAAGTATTGTTTTTCAAGCCAGATACATTGTTTGGGTTACAGGTGCCAGTGAAATATTTTATTATGTTCTAACACTATAGTATCTTGGAAAATAAGTGTGTATGTTATTGAGGAAGAAGAAAGAGATTCTGTTTTTCTAGGTGGCATTAAATGTTTAAAAAAAAGAAGTTTAAAAATAAACCAGTTTACTATTTCTCACAGCTAAGGGTATAGTTAATCATTTTAGGTCCCTGAGTAAAAAGTTCAGAAAAAGTTGGCTTTCCTATTTTTATCTGCAAGGTAAACAGCTTCCCAGACACTTTGTTGTAGCCACTCCTATGAAGAGGGGAAAAATGCAGATTAGCTTTGTTTGTTTATATTCCTCTGTGCTGGTTCCTTCTGCCTTTGGTCCAGGGCCACTTGAGTAAGCATCCATTAAGTGGATGTTTATAGAAGTTCTTCAGAAGTTATATAAGGTTCTTGCTAGTAAATGTTTTGTGTGTAAGACATACACATCAATATTATACATGTTATATGTATATATGTGAGTATATATATATACACACATCTAACATTAACACACACACACACAGACACATATGTGTGTGTATATTTATTTCCTCTGTGAATAGTGTTACATTTTTATCTTATAAGGTTAGAAGAATTAGGGCTTGAGACTTAATAAAATTAATATTTATTGAGTATTTACTAAGTTCTAGGCATTTTGTCTCATTTAACTGTCATAACTACCTGTCTAAATACAATTTTCAAAGAGCTGAAGACATCATTCTCCTTCTAACATAGAATGAACACATGCTAAAGATTTATTAACTCATTAATAAGAGAATCAGAAAGATAATAAAGCTGTTTAAACCATAATTTGAGTACCTGGGTATTTATAGGCATTTAAGAGGAATGGTAGAATAAGGTTGATCTGCAGGGCAGTGAAAAATAACCCTTTGGGGCTGTACTTGCAGCTACACTGCCTCTACCTTCAAGTTAACATATAACTCCACAACGTTTAAGATCTTAATTCATGTACAAATCATACAGGAAGTCTGTGCAAAAGTCAAACCAAGAAATGTTCCCTTCAATAATGAAATAATCTGTGAGGGGACAGGCTAAACAGTGCTCCAGTTTAAGACATTGAAAGCATGTGCTGCAATCTCTTTGCCTCACAGCTAAGTTTTAGATAATCCTTTTCACATACCCTGTTGTGCAAATACTTTCATCGCCCTCATTAATTTGGTAGAGTTAAGGACATAAATCAGATTCAAATATGTTAAGTCGCAGTTTATAGGCAGTAAATGGTCCGAGACTGAGCAGGCCCGCTCTGCTCTGTACTCCCGTCTATAAACTGAATATAGCTGCATTTGGATAGTTCCATATTTATGACCTGGCTTTTGTCTTACTGGTCTTGTTTGACTGATCTGGCACTGTACTGCATGTGTGATCTTTAGATGACAGCCTATGCGAAATTATTTTGGTAGGTAAACAAAATATTAATGTAAAGTTATAGGTATAAAGATTTAACTTTGTATGTCTTTGTACAGTTCTCTCTATATCATTTTCAGATTGTAAGTTAATTATTAACCAGCTGATTCTCTTTTCACTTCCCCAAAGCTCTGGGCCACTTAGCCCAACTGATTCTTGTATGTATTGTACAAATAAGGTCATTAGAGCTTGCTGAACTTTAATACGAAGAAACTCTGCAGTAGCCATTCCTGCATCCCTAAAGCAATTGGTTACTTCAAAAATATGTATTATTGCTTAGGCGACAACAAAAATCTACATATTATGTCTTCTAAAAATGCAACCCATCCTCACTCTTAGGAAGACAAATCCAAATACCTGTTTATGAGATTTTTAAATATTTAGGATTAGACATAACAAAAACTGTGCTAAGGACAGATACAGGCCTTTTTTGATACCAACAAAATCTCTTGCAAAGAAGCCCTCGTGCCTGTTGGAGGGAATGTAGAATGATGCACCACGGTAGAAAACAGTATGGAGGTCCCTTGAAAAGTTAAAAATAGAACCACAGTATAACCCAGTAATTCCACTTCTGGGTATTTACATGAAAAAAACGAAATGCTAATTTGAAAAGATATATGTGCCCCTATGTATATTGTAGCATTATTTACAATAGCCAAAATATGGAAGCAACTCAAGTGTCCATCAGTAGATGAATGGATAAAGATGATCTTTTATATATACATGATGGAATATTACTTACCCGTAGAAAATAATGAAATCCTGCCATTTGCGACAACATGGGTGGACCTAGAGGGCAGTATGCTCAGTGAAATAAGCCAGGCAGAGAAAGACAAGTGCCATAGGATTTCACTTATATGTGGAATCTAAAACAAACAAACAAACAAACGAGAGAAATAGACTCATAAATACAGGGAACAAATTTGTGGTCAGCATGTGGGATGGGTGAATCAGGTAAGAGACAAAGAGGTACAAACTTCCAATTACAAAATAAGTCTTACTGTGGTGAGCATTTCGTAATGTATGTAATTATCAAATCACTGTGTTGTGTACCTGACACTAATATAATATTGTATGCCAACTATACTTCAGTAAAAAAAGAAATCTCATGCTCTTTTATGAATGATCATATTTTTTGCTTAACCAATTCTATTATTCCTTTATATCTTGAAGCCTTCTAGGTTCTTCAGATTAGTAATTAACTGTAAAGTTATCAATGATTATTATCAAGGTTCTTCAGATTAGTGACTATTATTAATACTATTATTGTTTGTACTTGATACTCTGACTTATCATTTACTGCAAAACTTGTAGGACCAGTTTTGTTGTCATTAATGTTGTGTTTGCTGAAAATACAGATAACAAAAGATTAAAATCCTGGGCCTAGATCCATGATTTGCTGTGATAGAAAAAGTCTGGCAGTTAGCCTCTTCTGCTTCCTAAAGTGCTAGCTATCAACTTCCAGGGTAGTATTTAAACTTCTTAACCCTGCTGATGTGCAAAAGGGTCAATGCAAAGTAGTTACATTCATAGCTTTATGTATTTCTCCATGTGGATTTTTAGAGACAGGCGGAACACCTGACTCGGATCCGCCCTCCAACACATTTACTCGGCTTCCCTCTAATCCTGTGTGTATCACACAGCTCCCCAGGCAGCCTTGAACTCTAGCTGTGTAAGCTCACTCTTTTCTTAATACTGGCTTGATCTCTGGCCTCAAATATGCCTAAGTCAGCCTCCTTCCTACGTTGGGGAAGATGTTCCAGGGGCTTATGTTTTCCCAAGTCAGATTCTGTCCCAGTTTCTGGTATAGGCTGAAATGTGTGTTTTGTGTCTGTCCAACTGTACCTCTTATTTATTCTCAGTCCTCAAGCAGCCTAGCAGGAAACAGCCTGTGTTCCCTTCATCTCCCCCACTTGCCCTGACCACACACCGTGCACGCATGGTGGTTAACGCAGCTGGTTTGCTGAAGGACTGGGGGACGTGCAACTGAGGGTGTGAGCTGCTTTTCCACTTCTCTGCCGTCCTTTCCCTCCCTCCTCAGCTCTCAGCTATCGCCTCGAGTCTTCACTTTCTGCCCTTCCAGACTCCCGCACTCTTTCCAAATTATTCTGAGTGTCGGTGGTGATTAGCAGGGTTGTTCTTTTGCTTTTTCTCTCCCCTTCACTTCTCAGACCTCCCTTTCCTCAGCCAGGATTGTCTACCGTGGTGCTTTATAAAACAGAAGTTTTCTCCCTAAAAGAAATTCTGCCACCACCTAGTTTTCAAAATCAAAAGAATAATGTGTGCAGAAGGTCATAAAAATGTCAACAGCACAAAAAAGAACGCAGGTAGAGTATTATTTGCTTCCGGCCCTCCAGCAAAGACCCTATCTGCAGAGGGTGAGTCCTCCCACGGCCCCCTCCGGGTCTGCTCTCTACCCTCTCTACCCTTCTTCCCCTGCTCAGAGCTCCACTACAGATTCATCCTCTGCCTCCTTCACCTTTGGCTTCGTGGTGGAGAATCCAAGCAGGAGAACAAAAAGGTGGGGCCTTGGCCTGGCTTCCTCAGGGCCCGCTGGTTCCGGTAACTGTGACTTCCTTTCACCTCTTCAGGCCTGTGTGTGGGTCCCACGGCCTGCGCTGTGTCTACAGCACCCCACCACACCCCTCCCAGGTGTTTCACACTGTCTCCTCGGAAGGCTCCTCGGATGGCCTAGTTGAATGTCACCTGATGGAACCCTAAATGGATATAAATGGGAACACCATGTATGCGGTTTTCTGGAGCTTAAATGTCAGGCTGTATCAATCCACATGACATCTACCTTACGCCTTGTGACAGAGAAACACACAGCCCCAGCGTGGCGTCCCTTCTGCTGCGCCAAGTCACCGAGTCAGGGCTTCACACCTGAACCTCACTGCAGTTCAGCCTTCCCCAGAAATGCAGTTAGAAAGGAATTTTCTGGTCAGCATTGATAAGATAATGTTCCAAGTACCCTCTCCATCCCCAAAAGGAAGATGAGGGACTCTACTTAGGAAGACCCTTTGTCCCCAAATGAAGGTGACCTCACCTGAAATAACACTTTTTTCTGTTTATGACTTTCCTGTCCTGGCTTCAGGAACCTCTTCCTTTCCGTAACCCTTTGGAGCCTCTCTCTGCTCGCTAGGGTGGGATGCTGCCAGATTCACAGCTTGCTTAGTAAAGCCAATTAGATCTTCACAGTTACTTGGCTGAATTTTGTAAACAGCCTTTACAAGCATAATTTTCAATTGCATTGATGTAATTTATTTACCCAGTATCTTAATGTTGACTGTTAGGTTGTTCCCAGTTTTTCTGTATTTATGACATTGTGACAAACATCCAGCCTTGTTTATATCTTTGCACACATGTGTAAGTAGAACTGCAGAATAATTTGTAAAAATAACGATTGCTGTATCAAAGACCCATATGCAGTTAAAAGATTAGTAAATGTTAACAACTGCCACCTTACAGGTTTGTATTATTTTGCCACCAATAGTATGTTGCCAATACAGTTTTTTCCTTACCAGACCAGTAAGTGGAAGATGGTATCTCGTTGCTATTTTAATTTGCATTTTAAAAATTGAGTAAAAGTTTAACAGTTTTCTATTTATTTAAAACTTTCTTTTTTCTCTGAGGACTCCCTTTCCTTATCTCTTATTGATATGGATAAGCTTTTATATACACTAAGGAAATTATCCTTTGTCTATGCATTTAAAATATTTGTTTTCATATTGTCATTGATTTTTGCTTGTGGAAAATTTCTAATGAAGAACATTTAAATGTGTTTAGTATAGTAACATTTCTTAATAATTTCTCTTAATATCTTTGTTAGAAATACATTCTCTATTCTGTAATAATAAAAAATATCACCTTGTTTTATTCTAGTACTTTTACAATTTTACTTTTGATATTTTTATGTTTAAAACTTTGAACTCTGGAAATTTTTAGTGTAAAAAATTAAGTAGGTCTAGTTTCTTCCAGATGTTACCATTGTTCCTTCTCCATTAATTGACCATTTGTGTCCATTTTCCATGACTTGAAAAATGCCACTTTCATGTATTTTGAATTTCCATATTCACTGGAGTCTAATTCTGAATTTCTATTCTGTTCTATTGTTGTATTAGCTAAATTTATTAGTTGCAATAGTCTATTATGTTGTAATATAAATTGTTCCTGAAGAATCAGGTGCTTTATTTAAAGAAGATTCATTTCTTGCTTGGATTCCATATTACTGTGGGTGGTAGGTCCAGATGGGTGGCAGGTGGATCCCTGCTCTACATGGTCACTCAAGAGATCAAGGATGTGGCTGCCACCATCTTATGACACAAAAGATAATCTATGTAGAACTATGACCAATATTACAAATGTCTCATAAACATAAGCAAGAGCATATTTTTTACAGGGTGTGGAGTCTCGTATTCATTTTAGATAAACTGTATTATTAACAATATCATTTTGTTGCTCTAAATCTTTATTCATGTCTACATGACAATGATAGGCTTAGAAGAGCAAATTAAAGATTTTTCTTCTACTCTTCTATTCTTCTATTTCTTTAGTTTTGACTGAGTAATTGTAAAATATAACTTTGAATTTAAAAAAATTATTGAGTTATAGCATACATGTAGTAAAGCACACACTCATTATATATGGAGACCGATGATTCCCTGAGTGATTTAGTTACTGAAAGGACAGGGAGGAAGTCTTTGAGCCTTATGACATTAAGTAAAGTTAAAAAATTGATAGAAAATGGCTTACAAATGTCCTTCATTACTAGTTTCTACTTATCACAACTCCATTTTTTGGATTTCTTTTGTCTGCCAGTTGTAAGATTCTTGACAGAATGAGTGCCTCAACACTGTATTACTATTCATCTGTATGTTTTATCGTCTATCTTTATGAGTCATTCACCTATGAAGATGGCTCTGCTGATGAGAGCTCTGGGTAAGTGAAGCTGAGCTCACTGGTAAACCTTGTTACACTAACCCCAAAGGAATATACGGAACTATGGACAAGGTTATGCATATTCATTCATTCAGTCAGTAATTATACCTTGTTACACTAACCCCAAAGGAATATACGGAACTATGGACAAGGTTATGCATATTCATTCATTCAGTCAGTAATTATTTGTTGCCCTGCTCCTGTGGTAGGCTCTGGGATACTACTGTACAGCATCAAAATAGAACTGCATTCAGGAAATTACTTTTTAAAGAATTAAATGACAGGATGGAGGGCAGGCTATGTAGACTGTAATAAATGCTTTCTTAGGCACAGTGTCAAGAAATAGTTTTTTCCTTTTTTCTAACGTGGATGTGTCTATCAATAAGAAACGTTCTCTTTCCATTACCCAGGACGAACAGCCACTTAGAACTGCAGGCAGCTTAGGATTTTGGGTTTTGTGCTGTCTGGGCAGCAGTCAGGTTCACATACCTCTGTGCAGGGCTGAGCGGGCTGGCAGTGCGCACACCCGAGGGCTCCTGGGGTTCGGGTCGCTTCTCTGTGATGCTCCACTTCCCTCAGCCGGCAAGAGGGCTGCGCGGGGCCTGGCAGGGGGCGTCCCAGGCAGGCCAAGCAGCCGCCTGCGTTTACCCTGCTGGGCACTTAGACATCCCTTCCCATGGAAGGCACCAGGTGCTGCCTCGTATGTGGTTTCACTACCCTTTCAGTTTCCTGTCTTTTCATTCTGTTCCCCCACTTTCCAACCGCATTTACTGAGCAGATTCTTGTTCCATGTGCCATGGACGGGATTCTTTTCCAGGCCACCCAGAGGCCAGTCAGGGGCTGTTGCCTAGCAGTTCAGATTCCCTTTGAGGCAAAACCAGCAATCTGTTGAGAAAACCTAACATTAAACTGAGAAAAAGAATGGATAAGCAAACACAATCTATTAATCTTCTTATTTAACTTATCAACTGATGGGACCAGGAAGTTGGGTATTAACTTATGTACCACATGGTACAATTTATATACAAGCATACCTTCTTTTATTGAGCCTCACTTTATTGTGCTTTATGGATGCTGTATTTTTTTTTTTAGCAAAATTTTTTAAATTTATTTTTTATTTTTTTTTATTTTGCTATCATTACTCTACAATTACATGAAGGCTCCCCCCTTCACCAAGTCCCCCCAACATCCCCATTCACAGTCACTGTCCATCAACATAGTAAGACGCTGTAAAATCACTACTTGTCTTCTCTGTGCAAGTGCTTGTGAAAATT